AAAAAAAAAAAAAAGAAAGCAATTAATTTAAGTCGAGACCCCCTTGCCCCGTCCACTTTGTCTGGCCAAGTCACAAAACAATTTGACCGACTCTTCCGGTGTGCCTTGGATGACACCATGGCCAACGTTAAGTATATGTCTTCTTCTCCCAGCGGCTTCTAAGCACTCAGCCACCGCATTCCTAATCACCTCCTCTCTCCCAAAGAGTGCCATGGGATCCACATTCCCTTGCAGGACGGTCTCTGGGCCCAGCTCCGTCCTCGCTTCTCTCATGTCCATCCACCAATCGAGTCCCAACACGTCGGCACTAGACCGACGCATGAGATGGAGTTTTCCCGCCCCGCCATTCGCGTGAAAGATCAGGGGAACTTTCGGATGAACCTTCTTCACGGCCGACATAACCTGCTCGGCGTACGGCAGGCTAAACTGCGCAAATTGGGAGGGAGAGAGGTGATGAGCCCAGGAGTCGAACAGCTGCACAACCTGCGCCCCCGATTCGATCTGATAATTGACGTACACAATTAATGCATCTGCCAAGTGCTGCAGAAGTGCATGCAGAATCGCTGGCTCCCTCATCATAATCCCTTTCGTCCTAACGAGATTTCGATCTGCTGACCCCTCCATTGCATACGCAGCCAGAGTCCATGGCGTGCCAATGAACCCTAAAACTGCAGGAGGAGAAGCATCAACCCCTCCTCCTCCTCCTCCTCCTCCTCGTCCTGATGCTACCTCTTTCCTCAGTGTAGAGAGGATCTCCCTAATGAAAGGTAGACTAGATTCAGGGTCATCTAACGGGCGAAGAAGGCGAACAGAATCTAGACTTCTGACGGGATTGGCAATGCAAGGTCCTTTGCCTTTGATGACGTCAAATTCTATTCCAAGAGCGGGAAGAGGGGTCAAAATATCGGAGAACATGATGACCCCGTCTGGCCGGAAAGCGCGCCAAGGCTGCAAGGACAACTCAATGGCTATGTCGGCGGTCTCAGACCGCTGTCGAAACGGGAGTTTGTCTGAGAATTTGCGGAATTCCGCCATGTACCGCCCGGCCTGGCGCATCAACCACACGGGCGCGCGCTCCGCATCTTCGCCGCGCGCAACGCGGACAAGCAAAGGGTCTTCTTCTTGTCGTTGTCCTTGTCCTTCTCGTCGTCCTTCGTCTGCTAACGACGACGACTTCTCCTCCCCCTCCTCCTTCTCCTCAGCTTCCACTGCCTGAACATTTGCAGCCATGGATGATGACCTCACGATCACCTCCTCTAGTTCGTTGCCACGTGTACCTCTTCGCTGATCGCCACGTGTACACATTTTGTCGTTTCCGCGGAAGCCATTCTTACAGGTGAGGAAGCCGTAGCCGTCGCGCACATTTTCCTTGCCGCGGAAGCCAAGAACAGCTCTCCCGCCGCACGCCGCTTTCCCCGCCGTCGAACTCCGCAGACCCCGCCCACGGCGACCGCTCCTCGGCTGCGCTGATCCTGTCGATCCCGCGCCGTTGCGCACGAACACTTGCGCTTCCGCTTCCGCTTCCGCCAGCTGGACTGCTGCCACGTGCAGCAACTGCGCACGTGCGCTTTGCTGAAGACGAGCGCACACTCCCGCCGCCATTCCGACGACCTTCCGCCTCCGCCGCTACCGACACCGATCTGCGCACGCACACAACTCTCTAACCACCCGCGCCGCGCCCCCTCCCCCCCCCCCCCTCCTGTGTGCCGACCCGCCCTTTTTCCGCACCCAGTCTATATCGTCCCGCCTTTTTCCGCCGGCACCCGCCCGCGCGTGTTCTTTTCCGTCAGTAATCTCATCATACTCATCCCATGCGCGGCCCCGCCAACACCCCCCTACACTGCCCATCAACAAGCCGGCGGAGCCAGGTCCACGTCCCCACTTTCCCGCCGGATTCCTTCTTTTTGTTTTCACTTGTCCCCCGATTCCACATTTCAGTTCAGACCGTCGATAACGAAAATCGGCGGTCCAAAACGAGTGGAATGGAGGGAGAGACCCCTCGCCTCCCTTCCCCCCCCCCCCCAAATCGCTGTCCTATCTTCTCATTACACCGGCGGCAGCGATCGAAGATAAAGACGCTGTGAGGGTACAACTTCCCCCGTGTCCGCGGGAATGCATACTTTCACCCCAGACAAGGCGCACGGGGGCAAGCGCGAGCAAGGGGGCAAGCGCGAGCAAGGGAGCGAGCGCGGCCCTGCGCGTCCAATGGTGAAGGGGAATGACCATTTTGATTCTCCCGCCATCACGTCATTTGGTACTGTTCCGTTGCGCCGGAAGATTATCCATTTCGGATAATATTGGAATGGCTTATCTATCTAGACCGTCAATCGGATTTCTACGTGACGTCTCAACAAACAGCGGCGAGGTCCCAGTATACCAGCAAAGGAGGAGTGGATTGAGCGCCGGAATCTGGACGTGTTATGTGCAAGGATGCAGAACCGCGAAGGCAGATCACTCTTCATGTTTTGCATCTCTCCACAAACCCGTCCACATTCAGGGGCTGAATCCAATGGGAGCTTCGGCTCGGTCGTCGATCTTGTCTATGCAAGTGGGACTTACTCGAGAAACAAAATAAGAACCCGAACCTGGACGTGTTCTATGCCAGGATGCAGAGAAGCACAGATCGATCGTCATGTTCCGCTCCACCTCTCTCCACTCCACAAACCCGTCCAGATTCAGGGGATGAATCCAATTCTCTTTGCTATCAGGTAGGTAGTGGGACCTCGGCCCGGTCGTCGATCTTGTGTCTGCAAAGTGGGACCTACCCGAGAAACAAAATAAGGGCCTCGCTCCACTACTCTCGACACATGCACAAAAGACAAAAATGATGGCGGTGTATCTTTCTATTGTTTTACAGAAAGATTCACTCTACCGTCTTCCCCTGCGCACAACCCACCCTCATTTTGGCTGTATCTGGCCGGAAATACAGCTTGTATACATTCATTTTTAGGGTGCGTTATTATGTTCGGGGGAAGAGGGTAGTTTTGCACATGCCGAGAGTTGTGGAGCGGGACCCTAAATGAAGTCGTTCGAAAAACTCCATCGTCTTCTCGAACGCATGAAGGAACGCCAATGTATTTATTATTATTTTTTTTTTTTTTAACTACGCTATATTCTTCTCTCAGATCAAAGGAAGACAGCGCAGCTCAGGGGCCAAGTCCCACTAGCAGCGTTGAGCTACCTCAGACGTGCAGTTCAGGAAACTCAACACCAATTCTGCACATCTCCGCAAAAGCGTCCACATTCAGGCGTTGAGGTAGCTCAACGCTGCTAGTGGGACTTGGCCCCAGGTTAATGTCAAGTTGGAACGAGGATTTTAAATGGGTTTCCTTTTCACAGCAGGGTAACCTGGCTATCTCGCGACATTTGTGGGAGGAAAACACTAAACGAGTTATCCCCACCAACTATTGAGGATTTTGAGTAAGGACAATAATAGAACTAATCTTCGTTCACATAGCTTAATTAACTGATCATCACAGGGGACCAGATGTCATCAGACAATCAGACAGCCTTCTGGCTGAGAGGTTCTCTACTTTGTAAAAGAGTTTATGGAGAAGACACTGGACCTGATTTCCAGTCGTTTGTTCTTTCTCTGCTTTTGAGGACACTGGACCTGCTTTCCAGTATGGTGCCAAGACAGGACGCTGGACCTGTTTTCCAGCAACCCGGGTGGAATTGTGGGGTCCCCGGCCCCAGTCCTGGTTATTTAAATATCATAAGAACACCGTTTGCTGAAAAAAAAAAAAAAAAATGCGTCCACGGCATCCAAATGCAAATGGTTGCTGGGCTCATCCAGCAGATCTTTGCACAGGAAACCCTGCTCTGTTCTGCCGTCCTGACAAAGTGCAAATTGGCTGCGGCTGTAGAGCCAATGGCAATGGCCCTTGCGATCTAAGTTTCTGCTCAGGCACACCCGGGGCAAGTCCCACTTAGTACCAAGTCCCAATTAGTACCCGAATGATCGATTTCTGACCGCAGATTTGGAAGATCAACGACCACAAATCAAGGATCAGCGGAAGTCGGACGTAGCCCCCGGGGCAAGGTCCCACTTAGGAGATTCTGGCCGTTGATGATCTTTTGCTATCTACGGTCAATATCCCTTAATTCGTGCAAGTGGGACCTAGCCCCCGCAAAGCACCAAGCACCCAACTAATGATGGGTCGGAGCTCAGCTCGCACACCCACCAACTGTTGAAATGCCGATCCCGCACCCAAAAAAAAAAACAAAAAACAAAAAAACAAAAAAAAACAGATCGGAGTTGGAATCCAGATGCCATCACAGAACAGAATAAAGTAAATCTGAATCACCTACCGTCTTCACCCGAATAGAACGCCCGGTCATTATAGCTGCATTTGGCCCAACTTTCAGTCCAGATGCAGCAATTATGACCGGGCGTTCTATTCGGGTGAAGACGGTAGGGGCCGGTCAGTCCGAGAGAGAGAGAGAGATCTCAAGGGCGTTCTTGCCCTTTTCGGAAGGGTGGAATAAAGGAGAGAGAGAAAAAAGGGGCGCCAATTCTTCTCTCAATTTTGAAGGGGGGGAGGGGGAATGCCAGCCGAGGACCAACGGGCGTGGCTCAGCAGACCAGGGCCGAGGTCCCACTAGCAAAAAGGATAGGATCGAGCGCCTGAATCTGGATGTGTTTCATGCAGAGATGCAGAAAAGCAGTTCAATCTCGATTTCCTGCACATTTCCGCAAAAACACGTCCAGATTCAGGCATCCGATCCGATCCTCGTTGCTAAGGTAATTCTTTTTTTTTTTTTTTTTTTTTTGAGTAAGGTTTTTT